AATTTAAGTGCTGGGATAGTTGCTAAAATTGTTTTGGCTGCTCCTTAAAAACACAACTAGTGTTTTACATAGAAGCCATGTAACTGAGTTGCCTGTTTTGATGTATTACTAGTAAATCAGAATTGCAGGTTTTTATCTACACTTTCATTTTTAGTATGTGATTTTCCTGTGACATTAATGCAAACATGAAATTAAAATCCTGCCTGTATGCCTTGTTGAGCAGTTTGATCTGTTTCATCACTACCTGGCTGTGCTTTTCCCAAGCTTAGCCCTTATACTTATTTTCCTAGTGTGTTTTCAGTGATACGAAATTTACTGAAGTTGTTTTGGAAGAGCTTGGGCTTTAGAGAGCTGTAGCCATATGCATCTGAGCTCATTCATTGTTTGGTTTTTTCTTAACTTGGAGCTAGCAATAGGAAAACAGCAGAGTTGTCAGAAGTGTATATAAATTAATTTTGGCAGGTCTGATACACTCACAATATATATATTTCAAGGTCTAGAATTAGCTATTAGTTTAAGATTGTTCCTCAAAATAAGGAGGTGTTTTTCACTGATGGGCAGACCATTAGACATTACGGTAGAACTGTCACAATAGACTTGATTGTTCTTCGTAATCATTAACGCGTTTTAAGTCTTCCTTTTTTTAAACAACTAATTTAATACTAAAGTGTAACATTGTATTGATTTTCAGATAAGTGCATATGGAGCACAGTTGTCATCAGAAGCTTGCAGAGAGCTGGGCTTCTCCAGTAACTTGCTGTGCAGTTCTTGCAGCCTTCTTGGACAGTTCAATCTGAATCAGTTGGATCCGTTCTGCAGACAGTGCTGCCAAGAAGAAGCTCAGTTGGAAACAAGAAAGGTGCGTTTTAGACAAAATCCTTTGTGGAATAATTTAATATGTTACATTATGTTTTTGAAACTTCATTTCAAAAATATATGAGAATCTGGATTGTAATATCAAGAGGAAAATTCAACGTTTCTTGATAGCCCCATATACAAAGGGTCTAGATTTGCAGATTTGCCATACTGCTCTAAAATAACATCCCTGTATGAGCAGAGGAACCTTTGGTTCTGTGACAGCACTTCTCTAGTGTGAAATGACTAATGGGAGCTGCATCCAGCTTCTTTAAATTGAAAGATGTTTGGGATTTGAAGAGGGAAGAAAAAAAAGGAGGATAAGGAGCCTGATGTTCTTGATTGCAGTTGTTGCTTGGTCATTGACCCATAGTGTGATGGCCAGGATAGTTTAGCTCAGACTGTAGGGATAATAAAAATTTTGGGAATGATCTTGGTCAGAGCCCATGCTGTGCTTCAGTCAGTTAGGCTAAGGCAAAACCTTTCCTTTATCTGGAGTAAATATCTATCTTGCTTACGGTACGTCAGCAAGGAAGAATAGCTAAAGAATAGACAGCTAAATAACTGACAACGTGAAATTAGTGAGGAAATCTAGCAGGTTGCTCCCGTTAATTAAATTCAGCATACACTAAAAAGAAGTCTGCCTATAATTTTTAACAAAATTGCTGATTACAGTGTTAGGTACAATATATTAAATATCAAGAAGCAAGCATTTAAGATTTGCAGAGAATCGATACTTAGTAGTTCCTTGATATTGAGAGACTATTAAGGTAAGAGGTAAGACTGTAAATTGTGCTGTTTCATATATTGACAAAAGACTGCTTGCAGTAATATTTCAGTATAAGCCTTATGGGACTTGGTATCTAAGACTTCTTCTTTGCTAGATATATGAATCTTATAAAAGAAAGTTTGTCACCAGAAAATGTTCCAGTTGTTTTGTTTATATATGTACATGTCTATACATACACATACACACACAAAAACGCTGAAGAGTTTTAGAATAAAATGTGATGAGATGTACTGAAAGGGAGTGGAAAAATAGGAAAGGGTCTTCTGCTGTGCTGTGGGTGTGTACCACAACCAGTAATAGTTATGATGGCAGCAGCAAGGCTTCCTGTCCTCCTGGAAGGAGTGGATGCTTTTATTTGTTCAGGTAATATTCCTACAGTTTTGCCTCTGTGTGCATAAGGTGCAGCACAAGAACTTGTGGAGCAGGATAATTTCTGTTGTCATTTGTTGGGAAAATAAGCCAGAGCAGTTGTATTGCACTTTTGTCAATGTGACTTCTGAGGGGGAAAAAAAAAAAAAATCTGTCTTTTATCAGTAACTTACTCAAGAATGTAACTTAATTTGTATTGTAAGCAATGCATTAATAAAAGTTGGATCAAATAATACAATTGAAATAATAGATATTTTTCTGATTATCCTGAATCAGACCTAGATTTCACCAGGTGGATAATCACCCTTTTTGTCGAAGACTAAACAAATGCCGATTTGTGGTCAGGGCTTTACACTGTAAACATTTGTAGTCTCAAAACTTTTTTTTTTATTTTAGTCATGCTGAATGTAGTAGAACAAATAGCATAGGGCTGGACAGGGTCTCCAGGTTGTTCGACAGATCCCTTCACAGTGAACCAGAATTTGTTGTATATTCACAGGAACCGAGAGATTGTGTATTATAAGTTGTTGGGGTTTTAATCTATTTGTGTTGGTTTACTCAGTTTCATTTTCTGCTCGTGCTTTGTAGTAGATATGAACAATTTGCTGCTATAGCACAATTCAGTGTACATCTTGATGGTTATTTTATCCTTTCTTACTCCTGTGACATTTTTGAAGAAATTTAATACAAATGATACTTAAGATTTGGAGCTAGCATGTTAAGTATTGGCTTGAATTACAGAAGCGATTATGATACTATTTTCATGCATTTTCATATCCGGGTTTGAATGCAGGCTTTCCATACTGTGTGTGTGAATAGAAATACTGGATTGTTCTAACACTATGGTTATATGGTTGAGTGCGAAATTATAGCATCATTTCTAATATTCTTTTGAATGCTGTTTCAGAAATTGGAAATTTTTTATACTGTCACCACTGCTTGGAAATGTGTGTTTTGGATTTGCTGATTGTTTGGGGGTTTTGTGGTTTTTGTTTTTTTTTTTTTTTTGCATTTCTTTTTTTAAACTTGTACTGTGTAAATTCCCTTGAAGACTAGCCAGTGGAAAATCAGTGTTGGGAGAAAGGACCAGGAATATTATCTTAACATATTGTATTCAGAATCATCACATTTTGGATTGATTTGTGTTTTAACATAGTGCTGATTGTAACAGGTGTCTGTAATTGAGCTAAAGATTTTACTCTTACGTAAAAATTAACAATGTGATTTATAGTAGCTTTTTGCTAAAGTAGTATTTTCATGATGTGCGTGCAGAATAAAAAACCTGAATGCTGCCTTTTGCTATATTTTTTTCCCCTTTCCCTATTTTTTTCAGGTTATCATAGAAATCTTTCTAATGAAAATTTGATAGTTGAAAGTGAATGGATGTTGAAAGTCTTAAACAGTTGTTTTCCTACCCTCTGCTTGAAGAATGTTTTAATCTTACCCTAAAAACCTGCATCCAGATGTAAGATGTCTGACTTACTGATTAGCACCTTGTATGCTGCCGAGTTCCAGAGCAGTGGTGCTCTGGGTTTTGCTAATGCTGTGACTACGTGCTTGAACATCCTTGAAGTATGTGACTCTTTTTTTTCTGAACCATGGTTGCAGTATATGACCTAGCTTGTTCATTATGTGAGCACATATTTGTTCCCATCATGTGGCACATCATGTTGGTAGTCTGTGCTACAAACAGACTTGCAAACTGTTAGAATTGCAGGACAGACTTCAGAATTTTAAGTTAATTCTCCTTGTGATTATGTGGCAAGTGTTAGAAATAGAGAAAGCGAGAGTTAGTTTATTGCATGACTTGTGCCTGAGTTTTAAATGGTGGCATGTGTATCTGAGAATTGTTCTGTATCATTGCTACTTTTCACAAATGACCTGTGAAATATGCCCAGTCTTAAAAATACTTTGTGCTGCATAGCATCAGGGCAACCTCAAATGAGATATTTACGGATTTAAACTGTTTCATATCCTTGAAAGACATTTATTAATCCTGGTCTTGTTATTGGTCCAGTATTCTGTGAATTGACATTGCAGAAAATAGCTGTGAGGTACTTTTGCTACCCAGTATTTGTCTTGCTCTTAACTTCTGCTGACATTTGTCCAGTGAAATATTTTAATTATTTCATAACTGTGCTGTGGGTAAAATGCAAAAATATTTGGGTTATTTTCTCCTGTTCTAGAGATTTTTGTATTCACTTTCAGACTAATTCAGAAGCTAGCTTAAACAGTATTGCTTTAGACAGCTGCAAGTTTTAAGCCTCAGTCTGTCAGATGCAGAGTAGTGCTGGTGTGTAAAACGTAAAGGATGAAATGGAGGTGAAGCTAACTGTGCATGAAATTGTAGTAGCAGGAGAGATTGTCCATATTTTGCAGTAGCTGAAAATAGCTGCACTCCATCTGCAGCTTCACTTATGCTGTGTGATCCTTTCAGACACAGCTATAAGCATATTCCATTAATTGTATGTTATAATCTTAGATTTATCGCAACAATATATGCATGTCAAAATCCAAATTGATTTTAAGAATCAACTCTGTGATGAAATTTGCAATACATTAAATTTCACAGTTGCACTGTGAAGGATTGCTACAACACTTAAGAGTCATCAACATTTCTAAACAGAGCTTTGAAATACATGTAGCTCACTAAGATGTGTTGAACTTCAGCATTTTAGATTTCTATTGTTAAGTATTTGTCATGTTGTAATGTTATGGTGTTTGGTGAATTATGTAACGTAACATCAGGTGTAAGCAAAAGTTGGCCAGGTAACGTGAGACATGAAAATGGATGGTTTAAATGGCAACTTGTCATGGGTAACATCACACATGTCTATTATACATTATTTCTAAATAGTTTATGATTCTACTGTAAAACAAGGCAAACAAAATGATACAGAAGTCTATATGCATACTTTTAAAGTTGCACGTGGATGGGTAGTAACTGCTCGGCTCTACAAATTTAAGCAAAAACATCTAAGATCCTGAGGTTTTTAGCAACTTTCTTGTGCCTGTGTTCAGCATTGTCAAAATATGATAAGCTGTCAAAGCATGGTTTAATAATTTATTGGAATATCTGGCCTCTGCATTGCTAAGATAATGAGAAGTTTAGGATTATTTTTCACTGAACTTGTACTAAGTGTAACAACATAAATAACTAAAATATTTCAGAAATTTGAAATGGATTATTGTGCTGTGAGAGAGGAGGTTTCCAGCTTGGCATTCTTCCCGCAACAGTAAATATAAGTTTCCTTTCATTTTGACATGACACTGTTGTGAAACAGCAACCTGAAACAAATGTGGGAAGCTTAAACTGTGGCTATTACTTTTAAAAAAAAGTCTTTAATCCCATCTTAAGGTTGCTTTACATTGAGATCCCCATTCTACATCCTATCTGAACCTAAAATGATTTTCAGTATTTATGACTGCAGTTCTAAAGTTAATGCAGGTCTATGGACATAACCCTATTAGCTCTAGACAAACAGAATGGATGAGATTTAGAAAACAGTGGTATTTAGCGACCTTTAGTAAGTATTGTGTTTTCTCAACATATTGAAAAATGCTGAAAACTGAGAACCGACTGGGGAGCAAATCCTAAGAATGCATACTAAAACACTGTGGGAAATGGGAAGAAGGTCAAAGCACAGCAGAAGAACCTTTGCTAGAGTTGTATTATGGATTTCCACTGATCAGTCAGGTAAGCATGTCTTTACTGCAGTTAGATTGATCAAAACGTGACAGCTAGGCATGTTGCAGACCTGTCCCCTAGTCGTTGCATTGTAACTGGTGTTGTACTTGACCAGGTACTTTGACGTTTCTGCAGGAAGATCATATCATGTTTTCAC